GCCCTAGAAAAGCTTGCAGTCAAAGAGGGGACTGCTCCCCACAATAGCTGGATTGACACACTGGATCGAAAGACACGGACTGGTCCTTTGAAAGGACGGCTCTTCAGAAACACAACCAAGCACACGAAGCTATGGCTTTCCCATCCTACCAAACAGTACACCAAACACTGATATTCCATACGACAGGAGTGCCAAGTGTCCTCCGTTTCCCTCATGACAGAAAGATACGGAAAGAGAGAGAAACACTAGTACTAACTTCAGGCTTTCATTTTCTCAAGTTTTGCCAAGTGTTTTTTAATGTCACTAGTGTGATTTATTCTCTGGTGTTTGATTCTTGAACAGTTTAATGTACAAAGACTGTGTCAACTACTAAAAGTTAATTTTTACCAATTTAGCCTCATTATAAAATTTGGAGGATTCTGGACATTCATTCCATCTTTATATATATGTTTTATTCATAGAGACAGACAGACAGATAGACAGACAGACAGACAGACAGACACTATGTTAGTTACTTTTCTATTGCTGTGATAAAACACTATGACCAAGGCAGCTCACAGAAGGAACGGCTTATTAGAGGTTTTGGTTCCACAGGGCTATGAGTCCATTGCCATGGATAGTAGGGAGGCATGGCTGCAAGCATGTGAGGTGACTAGATCAGAAAGTTGAGAGCTCATTCATCAAACCAAAAGCAGGAAGCAGGGAGCAAACTGAGAACTGTGTAAGTCTGAACACTCAGTACCTTCCCATGGTAATGTACTTCCTCCAGCAAGGCCACGCCTCCTAAGCCTCCCTAAACAGCACCACCAGCTACGAACTAAGTGTTCAAATGCCAGAGCCAATGCTGGGGCATTCTCATTCAAATCACCAGTGAAGACAGACAGACAAACAGATGGTTCAAATATACAAGTTGATTCCAATACTTTGATGGGTCCAGTAGTAAATAGTCTTAATGACAAATAATGAAACATTGAGTACATGATTTTATAACCACACACACTTCAAAACAAAGCTTGATTTGTTTCTCAAACTGTTAAAGCGACATTTAATCTTTGTGCATTACCTTTCTTCACCCTGTCATCATTTAAAAGCGTCTGCTGACAGTGGCTCAGCCTAACCTGAATTGTCCTGTCATTACTTCTCAGTGCAATTTGAAAGGCAGTAGGTATAACGAAGGAGATTGATTAGAACTGAGTAGTGGTTGCTATTTCCCTAAGTTCTGCAAAATCCCTTCCTAAGAAAACGTTGACAACAAGTAACTTGCCACCTCTGCTCTTCAGTGGCTGAGGACAATTCCTGTTTATATTAAGTGCTGCCATAAAAGTTACCCAGCTGAACAATTCCATGAGTTATTTGCGCAGGTAGGAACTGACCCCTTCCTGGAAGGAGGTCAAAGCCAGGCAGAGAGTAACTAGCCTGGGTTTTGTCCGCTTGGTTTGAACTGTGCTCAGCTGCTAATTAATTAAGACATTGGGCAAGTTAGTTCTCTGCTCAGTTCCCTCACCTTCCAGATGTCAGTAACAAGAAAACTCAAAACTCAAAAGCGCCTATACCTGTGATGCCGTCTCACCAGCCCTATACATGATTTTCTGCATATTTAAGACATCTAGTAGAAAACAGTACTTAAAATGTTAGTATAAGTTATTATATTTGAAGTGTCTTAAAATTTACAATTTGCACACAAACATTAAAACAATAAATGATTAAATGTTTACTATAGTATTGACACAAGCTTTGAGCAACCAGAGTATTCAGAAGAATATAAGAAGGGGTGTATTAAGGGTGGAGAGATGGCTTAGTGGCTGAGTACATACTGCTCCTCCAGAGGACATGTTAGGTTCCTTAAGGCAGCTAGCAAACACCTGTAACTCCAAATCCAGGGAGACCCAGTGCCTCTGGCATCTGCACTCACGTGCACACACACACACACACACACACACACACACACACACACACACACACACACACACTTAAAAATAATTTAGAAAATTAGCCTTCCTTCTATTTTTTCTTTTCTTTTTTTTTTTTCTTTTTCTGGCTGGAAATTCTTAATGAAGCCCAGGCTAGCCTCACACTTGCAACCCTCCTGTCTTAATCTCCCATGTGCTGACTTTATAGACCTAGGCCACTGTACATGGCTGGATTGGGCATTGTAAGATAAGCATGGAGTGCCTGATAGAGTTCCTATTGTATACTGAGTTCATAATCACTCTTTGCTCCTTAATAGATCAAGCTCCTCCCTCCTCAAGCCCAGACTCAGCCTTCTGGCTGTTTGACATACTCACCCAGATCTCTTTAGACATAAACTATTACTGCTAAGCCAATTCATCTCTCTCTTAAATTCTACTTCTCTGCCAAATTCACATCACCAAATCCTCCTCCCTCCTTAGCTTCTACAGCCTTGAGCATCCAGCTGCTGCTCACTTTGCACCTGCACCAGGATTCATAGTAGACACAAGTGGGAGCCCGTTCTCGGGTTCCTCATGGCTTTACCCAGCAGGTCCGCATAGAGGATGATTGGACCACAGGCCTGAGTGCAGGTGTCTGAGATGGTCTGCACTTGGCTGTGCTGGGGGAGGAGGTCTTTTGCTCCACCCCTTGGCATCTCTATAAAAACCCTGGGGCAGAGACAGTCGGGCCGTTGGAAAAGGTTCCAGGCCCTCTCGAGGTTATCCTTTATTTTCTATCTGTTTATCTCTGCAAGATTCTCCGCAATAAATCCTTCTATCTAATATTTCCTGCTGCTCACACTCAAGAAAACTCTGGGGAACTATGGGGTTGGTGGGTAAATGCCCCACAGACACATCAAAACATAACATAAAAATAAGCACTACATTAACCTACCTATCCATCAAGTTGTTCAAGCCAAAAGTCCGCCAGCCATTTTCACCCCTCCCAAGCATACCCTCTACAATAAGCCCGTCTGTGGCAGAAGACATAAGTTATATTCATGCCCTGTACTGAATTATGATTGGCCCTACCTGACTTCTGACCTCAGTGCTCCCTGTACTCTCCTTCACCAACTCTACCACAGCCAAGGAGACTTCTTGATAGTTCCTCACACATTCCAAGCTAGTCCTGACTGAGCAAGTGTGCCTCAGCTAGAAGGCTCTCTGTGGCATGTTCTCCGGTCTCAATGTCACATTGCTGGCCATTTCACATTCTTGCCATTTGGAACTCTGTACAGTTCCATGTTCTGCCACTCTTGGTGGCCCAAACGAAAGTGATCACTAGGAAGCGTCATCACCACTGTATTTTAACAGTCTGTGTTGTGTTTACTGTGTGGTTTTCTTGCCTGCCCTGCTTTCTTGCTATTGTTCTGTCTGGCTAGAATGTAACTTCTGTGAGAGCCCAGACCCCGTCTGCAGTTCATGTTTTATTGCCCTGTCTAAGAAACACGCCTGCTGTGACGGGGAAGCAGAACTGCGTCAGTCCACTGCGCGGATTTGGGAACCATTTTCAGACCACTTGAGAAAGCATTCTCTCACTTCTGAAATCCCACACTTTCATTTTCCTAAAGTATCATATCACTTGGAAAACTTGTCCTGAATCCTTAAAAACAAATCAAATGCTGCCACCACTCATCAGTCCTGTACCTGTAAGACACTTGTGCTAACTATGGTTTTTGTCAGTTTGACACAGCTAGGGCTCTCGGGGAAGAGGGAACCTTAATTGCCTCCATCAGACTGGCATGTAGGTGAATCTGTGTGCAGTCAGAAGGTTCCTCTGGTCCTGCCTGGCCCACCCTTTAGGACGAATCTCTCTCACCTGCATCCTGCAATCTTTGGTCCCAAGTAAACCCACAGGGGCTTATATTAATTACCAACTATACAGCCTATGGCTCAGGCTTCTCACTAGCTAGCTCTTATACCTTAACCCATTTCTATTAATCTGTAAGTTGCCATGTGACCATCACTTACTGGTACTTTCATGTCTTGCTTCTCCTGGCAGTTCTGGCATCTCTTCAGACTCCACCTTTCTCTTTCCTGTCTCTCTCCATGGATTTCCCGCCTGCCTCTAAGCTGCCTTGCCATAGGCCAAAGTAGCTTATTTATTAACCAATGGGAACAACATATATTCAAAACATACAGAAAGACATCCCACAGCATCTGTGTGATTGGTATGGGGGATCCCAGCTGTCTGTGGGCAGTGCTACCCCGGGGCAGGCTAAGTGAGACATGAGCAACAGGCCTGTAAATAGAGTTCTTTCCTGTCCTCTGCTTCAGTTCCTGCCTGGAGTTCCCATCCTGGCTTTCCTTCATGATAGACTGCAAGCTATAGGGATAAATAAATGCTTTCCTCCCCAAGTTGTTTTTGGTCATGGTGTTTAATCATATCAATAGACAGCAAGCAGGAGAGCTCGCTACCAGCTACCACATCTCATCCTTTCTGCCTCTGTACTGCTCAGGCCACTTATTTTAATGGTATTGTTAGTAATAAGTTTCAAAATATAACACTGTGAGACAGAAGTTACAAGGCAAAACTGTTATTTTGAAAAACACTGAAATTGGCATATTCTGTGATTATGGTAGTGCTTTTATTATTTAAATTAGTGCATCTTAAAAATAGTCTTTATTGTAGTTAAACTTTTATTATAAAATCTGGGAGAATGGACCTCCCATGCCACTCTCTAGATATGATCTTTTGATAGAATGTTAATTGAAAATATATAATTACTATAAAGTGTCCAAATGAGGATGTTTTAGGGGAGATAATCAAGTCCCTTTATGAGATTTCCCATTCTTAATAAGATAAAACAATAATCACAGTTAAAAGAATGGTACTTCTCATGTTAAAATAACAGAAAAGGGGCAATGAGATGTCTCAGTGGGTCAAAGCACTTGCCGCACAGCCTGATGACGTGGGTTCGATCCCCCAAACCCATGGTGGAAGAAGAAAATTGATTCCTGAAAGTTGTCCTCTGACTTCCACAAGTGTGCCATGGCACGTGCAAACCCACACTCACACACAGAGACACATACACACAGAGAATGACTTACCTTTAGAAAACACTCATTTATTTTGACTTTGCTTATTGGATCTGTAAGAAACAGAACAGGCATGAAAATTCTGTTACAAGCTCTGTTTCAGGTCTATGATGTCACTGAGCTCTTATCTTGGAACTGCCAGGGACTGCAGAGCACTGGTTGGGGTTGCCTTCTCGTGGATGGACTAATGTACGTATAATTTGCTGCGCAACCTCAAGTTCCTATTTAAGATTGTCAGAAGTGATTTCTAGAATCATTAGAAATTTATAACAGAGATGACTTGAAAACAAAGATGTACTTTAGAAAGTTATACAGAATTTTAGAGGCGATTACATTTACATAGTAAGCTTTTGTAAGAATGAAGAATGTGGAAACACGATAGACACTAAGGAAAACTCACTCCCCAAAGGTACTTTTTAAACAAATGATAGCATCTGAAAAGAATGGGTATTGATTGCGTTTAGTTGGCAGTGTTTTAGAGACCTTTTCATTGGTTCATGAGAGACAGTTGTCAGTCTGAAGGGAGGACAGCTACCTAAGGGTAGTCCTGTCCCAGGGAGAAAAAGCACTTGGGTTAAATAAGGCCCAGTCACCATTTCAGGCATTACTGTCCCCTCTAAAGTGAGCACCTGCCCCTCCTGCCCTTGCTGCTGGGTGTCACTGGTGTCATGCAACCCCACACATAGTGGCTGCCCCAGGACTGAGCAGATAAATGCACGAGTTCATTTTACCACGTCTTTAAATAATGCTGGACGTTTAAATGTGTGCCCATTTATTTATAGCCCTTGATTTGCCAGATTCAAACTCTCAACCTAAATCAATGAACAACCTTAGGCTCAGAAACGTAACAGCAGCAATTAGACGCTTCAATTTCTGTTTTTTCAAAAAGGCTATTCTTGGCCAAATTGCACTTTTTTGTGGAGTTTGTCCTTTCTCATTGGTATCTGTCAGGAAAATCTGTATTTCCATCATCCTTTGTATTTCTCATGGTTCTCAGTCATATATGATTGGAACATAGATACCACCTTTCACATGGTTTTAATCAAATCATCTTTCCTCATTAGAAATTTTGTTTTATGATAAAAGAATGAATTGCTTACAGCAACAAATAATAATTATTAGGTATATAATATAAAGGAGCTTCACATCAATCAGCAAATTTGGTTGAAGGAATAGTTTGAATAGGAAGTGTATATAGACTGCCCTATGGACACAGGACATACAGTGTTACACGTGATGCATATGAGAGTAACCGCTCATCACATCCCGCTGTCAATCAGTGTGACCGCTCATCACATCCCGCTGTCAATCAGTGTGACCACTCATCACATCCCGCTGTCAATCAGTGTGACCGCTCATCACATCCCGCTGTCAATCAGTGTGACCGCTCATCACATCCCGCTGTCAATCAGTGTGACCGCTCATCTGCCTGCCCCACTGCACAGAGGGCTGTGGATTGAGGCTCATCCCCTCTGCGCTGGTGTGTGGCCTGAAGATGTATCCATGGGGTTTGAATGCCCATTCTTTCACAAAGTATGGGAATAGGGATTAAAATTTTACTGCAAAAAAAAAAAAAAAACTCTCCTGTGAAAGTTTCTTTTGAAAGGAGTGTTCAACCATGTTTTAAATATCTCTATCTATTTTTCTCTGTGTGTGTATGAGTGTTCACATGTAGCGGGCACAGCTGTGTGGGTACACACGCATGTAGAGGCCAGGGGCTGAAGTCATATGCCCTCCTCAACCCCTCCCACCTTCTCTTGTTCTAGCCACATTACAGTCATGTTTTAAATCTCGATTCTCCCATGATCTTAGCCAAGCGGTGCAGGTCCGTCAGGAGAGAGGCAGTGGCCCGCATCAGCAGAGAGCTGCCCGTGTCAGCTGTCACCACTGACATGGCATTCAATGCCCTCCTGCTACAAATAAAAACAAGAGACAGCTGAATACATTTCACTGGACACATACAATGCCATAATTAGTAACATTGTGCTGAAATCGTGGCAACCAGCTCACTTTCCCCCAGCTTCCTCCTGCTGCTGTGCACTTCATGTGTTTCAGCCACAGATGTAGCTTTCTAACCAAATTAATTTCAAGATTCTGACCATCAAGTGACCACTGCTCGCCGAAGACAGCCTTCTGATGAAAAGCCAGCTTGCCAGCTCTTTCTCTTCAAAAATGGGTGTGCCGAGGTGAGATGAGCAAATCTGTGAAATGGGTGAGGTAAGAAATAAAAAAGTGTTCTCTCTTGCTCACTAGGGGCAGTACAGCAAGGCTTCCGAGTACTTCCAGCAAGCTTTCCGTACCACAGTGGAGCTCATGAAAACGGAGCTGATGGATGAAACCAAAGTTCACTTCGGGATAGCGAGAGCCCACCAGATGATGCTGATGATGAAGAACTACATAGAGTCTGCAGACATGGACAGCCTCAACTGCCTGCTGTCCTGGAAGGAGAGTAGAACTCAAATCAAATATGACCCGATTCTGGGTAAGGCTTTGGTGTTTAGATTTTGTATCATCCATGGTAGCGAAGGTATTTCTGTTGGAAAGGTTTGTTCACGTGTTGGTGACTTGAACTTGCTTGGTAATTTTGTTTTCGTTCATTTGTTACTACATTGGAAGTTGGGTGTACTCTCCTGTCAATCATACTGGTACTGTTTAAGGGAAGCATACACCAGTGGGGGTGATCTGTCCCACCAATAATTCACCATCCTTGAGCTGGCACTTCCCAGTCATCTTAGAGACCACACTATGTACCGACCAATTGTAAGGAATAATTTAAATAAGGAGTAAGGCATGTGAAATCAACTTATGCCTTTTAATACTATCCAGTCACACGGCATGCAGATGAGAGCAACCGTAGAGAAACTGGGATATATGATGTACTTTACTGATCGTAGCTAATGTTATTTTTATAATCTTGAATTAGGAAAATATTTTATAACAATGTTTCTTCATACTACTTTTCTTATGAATAATTAAGTTATTTTATTATAAACAACTAGGCTAATGTAAGGGTCAGCATTGGATGTTAACTTCATTAGACTCTAGGCATGAAGCTCAGGTCATCAAGCTTGGTGGCAAGCACCTTTACCCATTGAGCCATCTTGCCCACCCTGAATACCAAAGTTTTTTAGCTCATTGTTAGATCCTTGAGAGTTCATTCCACAGCTTGGAGCTACCTACTGTTGGCTTTAATGCGGCAGCGCAATGTTATTTATTAAGCAGCACTGTTACCATATGAGAAAAGCCATGAAGTACGACAAAACCCACTATAAGAGTTTCATTAGGAGAAGGAAGGGACAGAAGACAATGTGATCAGGCCTGTGGAAGACATGTGCATGGGGGTGGGATGGGAGGAGAAGATAGGGGAGGAGTCCGTGACCGGTTTTTATGCATTCCCCTGACTTGCACATATGGGCTTACAGAGCTACGCCACGCATGCGCATAGATTGCGTGATCATGCTGCATGCAAATTACGTGATCACGCGGTGCTCGGATTACATAGGACACAAGGCCCCTTGCTTGGCTACTGAACAGCACATGTGCGGTCATGTAGCTGGAGAAGTAGCCAGGAATTCCAACATTCCAGACTCTTTGCTTATTATAAAAAAAGGTGGGTGAACAGAGATGGGGGCGCTGTGTCTCCTAAAACTGCTTCCAGCTGACTCGGTGGACATGGTTAACTCTTGAGGGATAGGGAAGGGGGGCTTCTGAGGTAGCCAGGTGTTCTGGGGTAGTGGATTGTCATCTGCTGCTTTGGGAATTATCTGACAAGGTGCTATCCAGGTGGATTCAAGCTGCCCCCGGAGCTCGCTGACCTGTCCAGGTGGATTCTATGGAGCTCGGAAGAATTTTTAAACATATTAAGAAGCAGCCATGGGAAATTTAAAATCTTGAGCTGGTGACCATGATATTGTAATGTTTTAGTACTCTGCTGTATTGGTTAGTGTTAGTGGGGGGCAGATATTTGGAACATGCTCTTAATTTTTACCTGAGATAAGCCTTATCTGAGACAGATTATTTTAAGGCACATGTTTAGCATCTAGGAGACACAGGTGATCAATTGCTGAGGGCATTTAACAGTAATAGACTGTTATATTAAAGTCTGTTTTTGCAGAGCCCAGACCCTTTTGAGTCTGGGGGTGTAAATACCTCTGGACTGTGACTGTTCCTTACTGCCTGGGTATACTTGATGGTCCTTGGACTCCAGCTCTATGGTGGTCCTGTGACAATTAGCTGAGTAGTTAATTAGGAGAGGGAACCAAGAAGGAAGAGCTTGTGGGGTGATGTCCTCTAAAACGAGAGAGAGCAGGGCCCTGTCTGTGTCACTGTGCATGAGGAGGAGAAGAGGCACTTCTGACAGGTCTAGGGTGAGGCAAATATGGGGAGCAAATGAAATGAAAGCTCCTACCTTAGCTAAAAAAAAATATCTTCCCATTAGGGGCACAGGGCAGGTTGGCACCACTAAAAATGTGTGTGTAAGAGGGATGCCCCTGAAAATACAATTAAGTGATGGGGTCTGATGAGATAGGTAAGGCTGTCCCCTATCCTGAAAATAGGAAAACGAGGAGATATGGGACTCCAAAACTCCCTCAGAACTGAGTAAGTGGCTCAGTGTCCAAAATTGGAAACGGATCGCCTCATGCTGCAATGGCTATCCTGGGTTCCCTGTGAGCCCATGGCCAAGCCTAGGAGGTCTGCTGGAGGTCTTTGTTTGATTTCCCCGTGCCATGAGGTGCATGGGGGCAGTCAGCTGACCAATGTCCCTCTCAGTGGCACTTCAGACAAGGCTCAATTGATGGCCCAAGTGGGGCAGGACACGCACAAGCCCAATGGCCTTTTCTACCACACTTAAAACAGGGACCTGGAAGTCTTCAGGCAGCCGCTCAAATAGCATGTGCCAGCATTTGGCAATTCTGTTCATGGGCTTTCTCATCTCTCCCTTGGTACCTTAAATGCCACAGCTGAGACTTCTGCCTATGGGGTGAGGGGCCCTCTCTCCAGGGCTTAAGTTAGCCCTGATGTCAGGAAGCTCTGGTAGACATAAGACAGATTTTATTCCGTATCTTGAATTATGTTTTTTAGCTTTTATATTTACTGGTTTGAGGGAAGCCTCAAGAAGACCCGCCAGGAGGCAAGTTATGAAGTGGTCTGTAGCTGGAGAGTCAGGTGATTATTGTAATAACCAGGTTATTGTAATCCCAATATGGGTCCTGATCGGAAACTCACTTGCGTGCATCTTAGCCTGCTTCCAGACCTGTCTGTGCGTCTCAGGGCAGCTGGGAACGGTGACAGTAAGAGTGAATGTGGGAGCCAGAGTCGGGCAGTTAGAATGGCCCGCCTGATACCAGAGAGCAGAATGGAGGTCAGATAGGTGGAGGTTCTTTGGAGTCAGAGACTCCTCAGGTTCAGGTTGCACATGGGCAGGAGAGAAAGACTCAGAAAGGGAGGGTTCAGAGCTTAGGTAAAAGCGTGGGGATAAGGTAACTCTTTTCATTGGCCCATTCTCTGGCAGAAGTTAGATAATTCCCATGGAATATTGGGGTCCAAGCAGCCATTGCATGGCCATATTTATGGTATCCCAGGGATATTTAAGGTATTTTTCAGAGGAGGAGTGGGACCAAGAGGAGGAAACCTTTATGTCCCATGACTGCAGCCAAGAGAAGAAAATGAAAAACTAAAATAACAAACGGGATCCAAGACCCCAGTCTCGGGCATCCCTGAGGTTAGGGAAGGATCTGTGAATCGGCACAAATCATTCAATGCTTTGTCAAGCCGGAGAATAAGGGCCAGGGTGTGTGAACCTGGAGGGCCCACCCCCACCCCCCACCCCCACCCACACCCACACCCACACCCCCGGAGGGGGGGGTCCGACAGCATTCAATGCTTCATCAAGAGAGAATGAGTCATGGTGTACATAGCCCAAGGACCCCCTGGGGGTCCAACAGAGAAATATATCTCAGGCTGCAGTGTGGGAAATGGTGAGGGATTGGAAAGGGAAAACTCACCAATCTGAGCAGCCAATATTGTGCGGAGTGGTCCGGCAGCCTGGCAAATGAAAAAAGCAGGCAGTCATAGACGGAGCAAAACCTTGGCACAGGTTCCGGGCGCAGAGCGCTAGGAGAGCCTGCTTCGTCTCCGCATCAATGTTGATTTTATTCAGCGGCACAATATCCCTTTCGAGAAAAGCCACAAGGTAAGAGAAAACCCACTATAAGAGTTTTATTAGGAGAAGGAGGGGACAGAAGAGAATGTGATCAGGCCTGTGGAAGACATGTGCATGGAGGAGGGTGAGGGGAAGGGGGAGGAGTCTGGGACCTGCTTTTTATGTATTCCCTGCACATGCGTATATGGGCTGACAGAGCTACGCCACACATATGTACAGATTGCGTGATCATGCTGAGCGCAAGTTACGCAATCACACGGCTTACATAGGACATAAGGCCCCTTGCTTGGCTACTGAACTGTGCATGTGCGGTCATGTAGCTGGGGAAGTGGCCAGGAATTCCAACACCTACATCTTAGATTTTTGTGTTTTCTGCCCAGAATATCAGGACCTAAGACAGGGGAAATGATCCATGTTAGCCGTCTTACACTGATAAAAGATACAGTCTGCAGAGAATAAGCTGAGCTGCTCAAAGTCTCGAGTTGGTCTTGAATAAACTCTTACCATCCTGATGATAAACTGTGAAAAAAAATTCTCTTGGGGGAAAAAGCCAGAAAAGCCACGTTCTGATGGGATCCAGGTGTGTCTGTCAGTGCCTCGTTTCCAGCTTTCAAAAAGCCTTCTTCCACTTTTGTTCATCCCTACCTCTTACATTTGTGGCTCTTTGGTGTTTTGAGAGGTTATATTTTCTTCTGAAGGACTTGGGAGCAGAAACAAATCATCCATTTGCCCATGTGATTCAAACACTAAAGCTCATGGTCTGCATGGGGGTGGGGGGTAGCCTTCCTCAGAGTGCTGTAGAACTCACAACCAGCCCTGCTCATCTCACGTGACTCAGAGCTCTGTGCAGGGATGAGCTACTTCCCTGTAGACGTAAAAATTAATAATTGTTCAGACAGGTATGAGTAAGCACTGAGTTCTCATTCTGCTGACACATTATGCATTGTGAAGGGTAACTTTTCTTCATGAAATAAAACCTACAGGAAATTATTTAAATGCACATGATTGTTTACATTTGTATTTTTAGTTCAAAGCACACTAACATCTGCCTTAAGGTGCTCCATTTTTACTCTGCTTAAAACTCCTCACTGGGCCAGGCAGTGGTGGCTCATGCCTTTAATCCCAGCACTGGGGAGGCAGAGCCAGGAGGATCTCTGTGAGTTCGAGGCCAGCCTGGTCTACAGAGTGAGAGCCAGGACAGGCACCGAAATGACACAGAGAAACAGAGAAACCCTGTCTCGAAAAAACCAAAACCAAACAAACAAAAAAAAATCCTCACTGGCTCTTCACTGAGTTCTGGTTAAAGGCCTGTTGACCTTTCTAAAGTGGTCCTTTCCTGACTGCTTCCTACATACACTCCCCCACTCCCCAACCCCCATCTCCCACCCTCCCCACCCCCAAACTGCACTCCTAATGAACACCTTCCTTCTAGCTCAGTTCAGCCAGGTCCTTAGGTGAGGGTGCCTGAGGCCCCTTCCACTTGAAAATGCTCTCTTCTCTGGTCTCAATGGCTTCATTCATTCTCTTCAAGCCATTTCAGTTCATTTTCTACCACGACTATTTTTTTTAATCGCCTTAACTGCTCAGTTAAGAGCACGGGTCTCTCAAATGCACATTCCGAACTCTGAGTATTTTCTAGGAAGGAAGATGTGATATTTGACATCTGCAAGGTGCCAAGTAAATGTTTAAATCAAATAGAATTCAAGATGAGGCTGTAAGCCCAACCACAAGCTAGTTTGCACTAAGCACGTTTTAAGCTTGTGTTCAATGCGTCCTTGGGAAGCCTATGATGCCACACTATTTGGATTACCATCCAATTATCACATGAATGAAGGATGGTGCTCACCAAACAGGATGTTGACAAAATGAAAAAGTGCAAGAATATTATTTGGAAATCCGAGCAGCTTTTAAGTTTTCAACTTCCACCTTCCTTGTAGGACGAGGCATCTTTAATCTTGCTATTGAGGGTCCCGTGCATTCAGAAACAGAAAAAAAAAAAAAAAGATCAAAGATCGGAAAGCTACATTATGAAAGCTATGCGGTTATTGGCACCTCGGAGACTTCCATCCTCCAAACAAATCATTAGCTCAAGGAACTGCCAATACTCTTTTAAGTAGAGAACATGACCCCCTAAGGGAATGGAGCAGAGAGAGCACTGAGGTCCTCGGATGAATGGAAGGGTGACTCCCTAGCAAACCACTGGTCTTTGTTCCTCGAGAGGGACCACGGCGAAAACAGGCACCTTCAGACTCTTCTAATACTGGGAGATGGTGGGAATGATTCATACAGCCTGCTCTCCCTTCCAACATTGAGCTCCCAAATTTAAAAACTGAGAGAAAAAAAATCAAGTTTATTACACCTCAGTAAAATGACTCAGTCCTGAAGCAGCTGCAGCTGTTTGGTTCTGGAAGGCTCAGGGGCCTATGAACGTGGACTGAATTCTCCAGAATGGTATTTCCTTCCCATACCCAAGATATCCTCACAATCAAGGAAATGTGTGTTTTTACAGGAAAAGGTAATTCATACCGCAATCACAGACACAGCAATAGAAACAAAGGCTTTCCTGCTTCAACTGCACAGCAGTGTTAACCCCGCATGCAGTTACAGCCATTTAAATGCCAATGATACGAGCTACATCGTTGATGAGAATGGGATCAGTAGCAGGATTCCCATGCACTTTCTCACTGAGGCCAAATGTAAATTATATCAGAGAAATCAGATGTGAATGCCAAGCCCCAAAACAGACGAGCACGCCAGCTAGTTGGACTGCAAGGACACTGTTCTCGGTGAGATGTCATGTAAAGGTTTACAGGGACTGAAAAATTATTGTCTTGGCTTTATGACTCCTGCACTATTCTTCAGGAAGTGCCATGACTTGGTCTCACGGCTCTTGATTCTTGTTGGCTTCACGTTGCACCCAGAGTGAAGTACCAAGCCATTTTCTACTGTGTACTTTGCTTGCATTTCTCATTCATGAGCTTTTAAAGAATATGAAAAGGTCATCTTCATAACCAAGCCCTCATATTCTATTGTGATTGGATACTTTTTCTATAGCTTAATAACCATAAATATGAAGTGACAATAATGGGATCATCCAACTGGCTACCTAGCAAGGTTTAAAAAAAACAAAAAACTTGTATTTAATTTGTTTTTTGACAATTTCATACATGTACATAGTATATCCAGATTATTGTTGCCCCCACCCTCTTTGAATTCCCGCCTAGCCCCTTTGTACCTCCTCTTGCCTACAAGTCCCTGCTCCACTTTAGTGTCTTTTTGTTTTGTGACTCACTGAGTTTGGGTTTGTGATGATGGGTTTGGAACTAGTCACTGGAGCCCAACGGTCTTATCTGTGGCTAACTAACTGCAAATGATAGCTTCTGCTCCCCCAGAGTCCATCAGGAACCAGTCGTTCAGGAGGGAGAGGTAGGACCTTCCCAAGCCCTGCTGAAACCATGTAACTGTTGAGGGGCCCATTGCATGCAGCCAGAGCTCCTGGGAGGTCACAGCGGTGCTGGCCGTGCCAGGCCAGAAGCTAGCATGTCACAGCCCTTCTTCCCGTTTTCTTGTTCTTACATTTTTTTCTGCCCCCTCTTCTGCCATGTTCCCTGAACCTTTGAGGCGGTGGTATAAACGTCTTGTTTAAGGCTAAGCATTCAACTGTCAATTACTCTCAGCACCTTGAGCAGCCAGGCATCTCTGTATTCACCATCACCTCTTACAAAGAGAAACATCTCTGGTTAAGGCTGAGATGAGCACTTGTATATGGGTCTAAAAGTAGATGCTTACGAGGAAGTTTGGTGCTATGATAAGCTAAAGAAGGGTAATAAGCAGTCATAAGTTCTCCACTAGGGCCGAAGACCTCATCAACCATGAGTTTTGTTTGTTTGTTTGTTTTTTACTGCATTTACGTTATCAGGCAAGGATTCCCTCCTAGGGGTAAGCCTCATATCTACTCAAAGAGAATTTGGTTACTCCTATAACAGTCATGCCATGATGGCTTCAGTAGGCACACCTTGTCTGACAGAGTGATATTGTGGTTTATAGGATTCACAGCTGGGTGAAACCATTAATGCCCTTTCTCCCTAAGCAGCCCGCATAGCATGCTTCAGCACCCAGAAAGCTAGTCAGCAGCAGGGAAGCTTCCTCTTCAGTTCCACCTTGATCTCTCTTCTTGTAGTCAAGGGATGTGGTACCTTCAGCAACGGGGTGTTATCATCTAGTTCCTGTGAGAAACTGTGAGTGTCAGGCCTTGTTGAGGGGAGAGTAATCTCTTGGGTTTGCCTTACCAATGCTCATAAAGAGGGTAAGTTACACCTGGCTCTGGGGTTTTTGTTTAAAAACCTATGGCTTTTAGGAGAGGATGCATAGGACGTCAATCTCCATCCCCATGTAGGTTCCCATATTGCCTAGCCTACTCTGACTCCAGAAGCCTCAGGACTCTTTTCAATGGCAGGACCACAGCAGTAAGGGTGCTGGTGAGAGACTTGGGGTGGCCATCTCTCTGTAGGACAATTTGAAGATTGTGCATTTATAGTCTACGAGTCGGCCTGTGATTTTTTTTAAAGGTAGAAACCCTTAAAATACTGTATTAAACTCCCATTTCTAGTCACAGCAAATGAGTTGGATGAGACAAATAGGATAAAAGCATTAAAATACGTTCTTTATATGTTCCATACCCACGTCAAAAGAAGCACACTAGTGTGTGCCCTTTCTGTTTGCCTTACTTAAAGTGGTCATATGAATCTGGCTCTCACAGACATCAGGAAACAGGTTCAGTACCTTCTGCAGCTTATTCAAAACAAACATAATGCCCAAATGGGAAATGTCTGAAAGAGAGAAACCAATACTCCATTGCAACCAAATTCTAAAAGAAAAAGGAAGAATTTGAGTGTGGATTTTCAATTTCCTCATTCAAATACACATCGCCAGCCTTCACCTATTTTGTACAACACAAGTAGCAAGTTACTTCCTACAGAATAAAGTATTTCTTCAGAAATTAAAACTAGCTTCATTGGGAAATAATAATAATGATTGCAGTTCCCTCAGGTTGAGAGGTTTGTTTCTTATTTTCTTTTTTCCCCCACTCTGAGAATCTCCTTCTCTATCTTCTGCCTTGGTTCAATAAAAGAGAATTCTTGATTGCTCCGACAA